CCCCCACATCACTTTTCTAATGGTCCGTCCCTTAGGAATAACAGTTGTTGAAAAGCAGTTGATTGACAGCACTGCTGATATGCTATATAAAGAAGCAATATTTATGCAAAAATTGTCACACAGATGTATCCCATTGTTACTTGGGGTGCAGCTAGACAAAAAGCCAATCTCCCTGATAATGCAATTTATTGGGGGAGAAAAGTCAGTCTATAACAGTTTTCAAGTTGCTATTTGACCCACTGTACCAACATCAAGCTTCAGAAATGTCAACCAAAACATGGCTCTGCATATGTTATGACATCACTGATGCACTTGACCACATGCACCAAAGAGGATATCTCCACTGTGACTTGAAGTCCGATAATGTGTTGGTTGCACAAAATAAGGGATATCTAATTGACTTCGGGAAAGTTTGTGAAATCTCTCGACCAAAAGGCAAAGAAATACAAGGAAGTGTACAAACACATTGCACCAGAAGTCTTGAAGGGATATCCTGTTACAACTGCCAGCGATACGTATTCACTTGGGAGAGTTCTTAAGGCAATTGGCAAGAAAATCAGCAGCACAATCATATTACAGTTAGCAAATGCAGCAACTGATCTTAACCCCACAAAAAGGCCCACTCTTTTGAAAATATTGACCATGTTGAATGCCGAGAATATCCACAGCTGAGATACATTAAAGAGGCTCTACAAAATGAAGTATAGACCAAAAGTTAAGTTGGATAAAGTAAACAAGATTGATAAGTAGTACTTTGTTATTTTACTTTGTCTAATGCTAGATGATTTTACTTGTCAAAGGGAAAGTGCAGGGGGCATTAATGGCATAATGAGACTATCATCTTTTGGCAACAGGTTGTCGGCAAGTAACTAATTATTGAGTAACATGTTTAAATAATATGAACAACTTAATAAATCTAATAGTCTGTATAAACTATGTGAAACACAGCCACAGTGGAGACTCTTGTGCTGTCAAGATGAATCGTCTTTCGGCAGCAGGTTGTCAAGATATTGGGTCTTTCGGTAACCTGAAGTTCAGGCCCTAATTTGAAATAGGGCCTTACACAAAACCTGTCTAGACCGTGAGACGCCCACATGTTATTTTTAGAACACATGCAATATGATTGACAAGTGTTGTAGGATTCGTTATACAAAAAAATTATATTCTCATGAACATGTCCGCAGAGCATTTTGCTTTTTAATTAAACTTAAAAATTCAAGGTACTTTTATATAATTAAGAGTCAGTTTCTCTATTTAACCGAACAGGCGAACAGCAAACAAAGATTTAATTAGTCAGTTCTGTGCACGGCTTGACTGCCAAGCTTTCTCAAGGTCTCAACTTGCTGGACGCGGATATACTCTAACGACTAACGGGCTAATAACAGCAACAATTAAATTCTCAATCATACCACGAAGAAGGCGATGTAGCTCATAAAACAACGCCGGTAGGACCTGATATTAAAAATAAGACTTTTGCCGGCGAAGCAAGTTGGCAGAACATCTTGGCTGTCAACAACAAGCTTTCGAATACAGGACTAGTTTGGCTGTTCTTTCAGTGTCGTGTGTGTCCAAAATTCGTCAAAGATTTTGATGAAGCCCTTTCAAAATACTGTTTGTTTGATTTATTTTCTTCCATAAAGCATAAAAGAAAAGAAATTCGAAGAAATCGATAATGGAATTTGTTACGTGCGTTTGACCTTTATATTAATTCTCGCCTTGACCGAGCTATTTTTAAAACTGTTGTTTATGTGAACTTGCAACCAATCAAAATCCTTCGTGATGCTGATCAACCAATCAGATTTCCCGTCCACCAGGTGGACGGGAATCCCACACTTTAGATAGGTTTTGTGTCAGGCCCTATTCTGTGATAGGGCCTGAACTTCAGGTTAGTCTTTCGGCAACCAGTTGAATCTTAACTGTTTTTATTGGGTTTTTCTAAAGATATACTGTAGCTAATATGCAAGGAATTAGTGAGTACTGAGTACACCTTGTCTAAATAATATAAATAACTTATTAATAAAATCTAATAGCGTGTATAAACTACGTGAAACACAGCCATAGTGAAAACTCTTGTGTTGTCAAGATGAATCGTCTTTCGGCAGCAGGTTGTCAAGATATTGTGTCTTTCGGCAACCAGTTGGATCTTAACTGTGTTTTTACTGGGTTTTTCTAAAGATATACTGTAGCTAACATGCAAGGAATTAATGAGTATTGAGTACACCTTGTTTAAATAATATAACAGTAAATAACTTAATAAAATCTAATAGCTTGTATAAACTATGCGAAACACAGCCATAGTGAAAACTCTTGTGCCATAGTGAAAACGTCTTTCGGCAGCAGGTTGTCAAGATATTGTGTCTTTCGGCAACCAGTTGGATCTTAACTGTGTTTTTAACTAATACCGGTACAGTAATATACATATATTATCAACAAATTACTAATTATTAAAATGCAATATAATTACTTAGCATTTTAAAATTGAATACAACACTACTAACATTATCAAATGAATAATAATACAGTATATAAAGTTATCAAAATTGTCGGCTGCACTGGGCAAAAATTATCACAAATGGCCCAGTTAGATGGCAAAGCTACTGTGTACTTTAAATATCGATACCGGTATACAATATTGAATAGCTATCCAGATCTAATGGAACATGAAATAGGATTGAATAGTACTGAAATGTAAGTAGGCTCTTGCCATTCTGAGGAACTTGAAGTCCTACATATTTTAATAAAGAGAACCAAAATGAGTGAATATATGCCAACCAAAAGATGTAAATATTTGTATCATATGAAATTGATTCTTCAATTAAATGTATTAAAACAAGTGGAGACAAGGCCATAACAAGCGCTCCTGTCTCCACAGTCTTGTGTTTGGTTCTTGGTAAAAATTATAGAATGTATATGTATTGCAGTGGATTTTAGAACCTTGCTGTCACTATTTAGAAATTTATATTATTATATGGAATGTATCTGGACTCATATGAGGACATCTGGTTGGCTCACTTTTCAGTGCAACTCTCAGCAGGTAAGACCTATAATTTACTCCCAGAAATTTTTGAGTATTCAATCTATTTACTAGCGACAAGGGAATGCAGTATTAAACATATACTGTACCAAGATATAGTGAAATAATTCTGGGCTATGCCGCTATGGCCATTGTTAGAATCAGTATATAAACACAAGCTAGAATCCTTCCTAATACTAGCTTTCAATGACAGTAGGCCTATTATAGTGCCTATAAAATATACAAATTATACGTGATTTTATTATTTGCCTTCTTCATACCAAAGTAACAATAAGAAACGCTTATAGTTAATAAATATCTGAGATAATAAACTGGGATCAACTCTAACAAATATGTCAATGAACAAAGCGCAACTATAAAGCTTTGAAGGTTACACAAGGAAAACATTACCAAACAATAGAATACAAACCTTTAAACAAAATATAACCACGATCGGTATTAATACAAAAACAGTTTCTTGACAAATCTTCGATTTACCATACATAAAATAAACACCACTCTCATCCGACGCCATGTTCGAAAAAAAAGACGGAAATTGTACGCATAGATTCGCTACCTTCCTAAAAGGCACTGGAAACTAATAACTTTTCGACCCAGTCATTAACCATAGATATAGGAGATCTAGATTGCTAACACATACCTAGCGCAGGCTGAGATACACGCTACATGATAAATCCAAGATGGCGGTACAACAGGGCAAAAAGACTATAAATTCTATTACGAAAATCAGAATTTTTGCATTTTTTGCTGTCGCATTGTTTTGAAACTTATTCGGTCAAATTTTATGGTAAAGAGAAACTTACCGCGAAGATTTTGAGCATACATATGATTGAATTGGATGAAAACTCGCAAAATTATCCATCGATAAAAGTTCGTGTATAGTACTGATATAATACTATATATGTAACTTGTACAGTTTTGCTTTAATTTTTGCTCACTATTTGCATAAAAAGCAAATTATAACAGACCATAGATGAGTAATCTAAAAAAGATCCTCATCCAGTGCTCTCATCAGTTTACTTCTCTAACAAGCAAGGAGGGGGGGGGGGTACATAACAGTTCATTTTTCATAATTATGAGGACAGAGCAGATGATGATGAGAGATGCAAGTATAAAACACCATTCACAAGGCTAGATGTTAACATAGGACAGTATTTCTGGCAATAAAACGATCCAACTGACCAACTGACCATTTCACACGAACTTTTATCGCTGGATAATTTTGCGAGTTTTCATCCAATTCAATCATATATATGCTCAAAATCTTCGCGGTAAGTTTCTTGTTACCATAAAATTTGACCGAATAAGTTTCAAAACAATGCGACGGCAAAAAATGCAAAAATCTTGATTTTCGTAATAGAATCTATAGTCTTTTTGCCCTCTTGTACCGCCATCTTGGATTTATCATGTAGGCCCCGCCTGCGCTAGGTATGCGTTAGCAATCTAGATCTCCTATATCTATGGCGTTGCCGGAGGCCCTGGCGAAAACCAAAACCGGAACTTCAAAAATCTTGTAGTTTGCCGGAAGTAAACGTAATAAAATGCTGACTCTGCATCTTTTTTTGCAAGGAGTGAACTTTGAGAATTTCTCGAAAGAAATAATGTTTTACATGCAAGATAAACATTAATTTGTTCTGGTTATTTCACCATTAAATGTTTTAATGATTGACCAAATCAGAAAACTAAAGGATCATGTAAATGTTTCAATTATGAAAGCTGTTCAAGTTGATGAATCGAAGGATACAATGTGTAGTTTGGGAGAGTCATTGTATACGCACAGCAATCAATTGGATCGAGAACATGAAAGTTTTTGAATTTTTATTATAATCGACGAAATATACAGACAATTTAAAAGCGATTGTTGTGGACGAAGCCCAATCTTATTACTGAATGGTGAGTGAGTGATACTGATATATTTGGTT